CCCCATCATCATCCTCTCCCAATTCCCCGACCCTGGCTAAGCTCAGACACCCACAATGCCACACCGACCCTGTCAAGCACCTCCGGAGAAAATCCACACAACCGTCGGAGCAGCCAGCAGGCAGCATGGGGTGTTTCTGCCGGTCTCGGAGCCGCCCCCACCCCCTCTCCTCCCCCTCAGCCACCTCCTCCCACCCTTCCTGCCTGTGTCCACACCTTCTGCCTTTTCTCTGGCGGAAATGGCAGGAGTCCCTCCAATCAAGGCCACTTTCCCCGACAACCTATTCTATTCCGCCAGCCTGACTATTTGCTCCCTCTCACTCGTCGCTTTCTGAGAGCACTCGTTCATCATCTATGGCTTCACTGTCTGTCTCTTTAAGCAGGTAACAACCCTCAAGGGAAGGCATCGTGTCCATTTCCTTTCCACTGTGCTCACACCCCAAACAGTGCATGGCACACAGTAGGTGCTTTATGATCCTGGGTCCTGCTGGTGACTCCCTTGGCACGTCACACCATCTCAGGACATGTGCCTTTCTTTCCCACTTTGTCCCTACTAGTGTGTCTGTCTGTCACAATTCAAAGTGGTCGCATGCTCATGTCCACTGTCTGACATAGTTTCTGCCGAGTTCTTGCAAAGAGTAGAAACTCACATGTTTTTTGAATGATTGAGTAGTAATAAAAAAAGATAGTACTGTACATGATGCCCGATGCCAGTGGACACCCTGGAGGCACTTAAATGAAAAGCACCACTGAGAAGTCTGGGATCTCCCCGAGGAGTCGGGGTGCTCCGTGCAGCCCCTGTGGGAAGCCCAGAATAAAGGATGTGGTGGTACCCTAGCCCCACACTGGGGCTCTTGGCCCTGTTCCCCAGTCTGTGTGAGGCCAGAGCAACCCAGGAGATTCTGCGCTGCAACGTGGAAAGAGCTATCACTTCTCTCCCTAGTTGTGTGGTCTGCCAGTAAAGCAGTGGGAAACTCTGGCTTTTAAGCACGTGCTTATTTCCACCTAAGGTTTTCAGCTGGTTGACAGTCGTCCCTCACTATATCACGGTTCACTTATTGAGGCTTCACTGTATCGCGGGTTTTAGAAAACCAGTGTTTTCTAAATGTGGTTTTACAGGAGGTTTACAGGAGTGTGGGAAGGGTTTATAAAGCCTTAAAAATACATATAAATAATAAAATAAGTATAATACCTCTACTTCTAGATTTCACCTATCGTGGGGGTCTCTGGAACATAACTCCTGAGACAGGTGAGGGCTCGCTGTACTCTGGGTGCCAGCAGCCCAGATGACCACACGCCATGATGCTGCTTTTCTTAAAGGAGCCCACTACGGAGTACTGATGCCTCCATACTGGGCTCTTGCTGACTCACAGCTGCTCACCTCACTCCGTCCTGCACCCCCACCTTCAGCTTCCTAGACGACTGCCTCTACAACACTGGTTAGGGAGACTGTAGACTTCACTGGTGAGGACCCACGTGGAATTTTATATGTCATTAAAATCACGTAGGTTTAAGAGTGTAGAAAGTGTTTAAGCGCATATACAGTGTTTATAAGAGTGTGGGCCTCTGGGTCCTCAGGTGTCATCCACGGACCTGCCCGAATATTGGGCATCAGCTCCGCCCTCAACTGCTCACTGTGACAGAAACAGACGTGGGAACTAAAATCCCCAGACCCTTGCTGTTGGAAGGACCAGTGGCCCGTGAATCAGAGGTTTCTGGTGGAAGGAAGACGTTGGAATCCTGCCTTGCCTGTCCTAGGGTTGCCTTTTCGGGGCCCCCGACCCTGCCCCCGCCCAGGCTGTCCGACCCTGCTCCCAACGTCCCGGCACCTGGGTTCCTCCTCTTCCAGCCTGCCGAGGGCTGGACTGAGGAACGTGGGCATCGCTGAGGCAGGCACAGAGAAAATACACCCTGGGGAAGCGGGGTGGAGGAGGTGATGCATCGGAGTCCCAAACGCTGGCCTGTGCCCAACTGGCCAGTTCACCTGGGCCCCTGAGTTAGCCTGCGAACAGCTGGGCCATCCCTTCGGGTTAGTGCTTCTGGCTCATCTGCTGGACCCCGGGCCACCCACTCTAATTCTTTGATACTTGTGCACTTGTCCATTGGGCATGTCTGTGTCAAGCTCTGTAAATACTGCAGGAGGCAGAAGGGGCTGGGGTTACCCCTGAGGACCGAGGATGCTGCTGGGAGGCTGATCTTTCTTCGGAGTGTCTGTATCTTCCTTTGTGTGGCGGGGAGAATTCTGGGAATCATTTGATTATGCCTGTAGCAACACCTGCTGCTGCTGTTGTTTCTGTGTGTGTGTGTGTGTGTGTGTGTGTGTGTGTGTGTGTGTAGACTAGAAATCTAAAAAAAATAAAGGATCTTGGAAGGAATTACTGCCTCCAGAGGCCATGGATACAAATGGCTGTAGACACTCAGGCAGAGACCCCCAAATACACAGGGGTACCTGGAGGAGCCCACCCTGGGAGGGATGACAGCCATCCTGAGGTCAGCGTCATCCTCTGCCACGCTTGCATTCCCCAGGAGCAGGCTCCCACCCGGGGTTTGGGGAGGGCACCAGCCCACACAGGGATGTGCAGGAAGGGCTGGGGGCAAGGGGCCAGTACACCTGGGTCCAGGGACCCTTCCTGGGAAGGCAGCTTAGCCCTTTGGCTGCAGTTTTTACTCAGTCATGACAAAATGTTTCCAAACAGCCAGCCAGCTGTTTGTAAACACTTAAGACCTTTCCAAAGAGTCTGGCTAGCCCCAGCGCAGGTGGGTGTGAGGGGCAGAGAAGCCGGTTTGCTGGTAACACCTGAGGAAAGCACCGAAGTCACAAAAGGAAAGACGGCAGGTGTGCATTCAGGTCCGTGGTCCCTTCACTCTTCTTCCTCTTGTTCTCCCCACCGAAGGGGACAAAGCGGCTGTAAACCGTTCAGCTAGAAGGAAGTAAAAATATTCCTCCCGCTCCTCACCGCGTAAACCTGACACAGATAACGAGGGTCACTTTTGAAAGACAAGGAAAACTTTGGGACCATTAGTGTCCTTGAAAGGCTTTTTCAAACAAACTGACTCACAAACCTTTGCTCAGGGAGGGGGTGACGGGGGATGTCTGGTCCGCCAGCAATTATTCACCAGGCGAAACACGTCTCGCCTGTGTGCACGCTGGCCAGGGGAGCCGTGTCTCCAGGCAGCGGCCCACACACACTCTGTGGCCTCCCCTGCCTGCCAGGTTTCCCAGTCCTGTATCCATTTCACTTAACTTTTGCTCCCCACCCCCTTCTGTGAAGTAGTATTTTTATTTAACACAAAGAAAAATTAGGCTAGATGCAGAATTGATATCTGAAACTTCTGCCTTCCTAACAGTGTTTTAAAAACTCTGATCACCCATACCCTCTGGCTTCCCATAGAAAACATTTATTTCGTGATGAGGCGAAAAGAACATAAAGTGAGCAGCAATACCAGCGTAAGATATCCTCCACTGCTACTTTCATTCTCTCCTGGGAGGTGGGGATAAGAACGCCAGGCATCTCAGTCCCAAGGGGCACAGCTCCTGTCCCACTGTTCCCCTGCAGCTCTGGGAAAACTGAGGTTGACCAGGTAGCGCACAAAAGTAACCTACACTTTGGAACCTTCCACGTGCTCCCCCCCCCACCTCCCGCCGCCAAGGGGAGTAGTCCTCACCACTGTTGACAGCACTCATTGGCCCTCCTGGGATGCCGCTCCTCCAAGGGCAGAGTTTTTTGCACTGTGTACAGAGCACCTAGGTGGTGTTGGGTGGACACTTGTCAGAGGAACACATGTAAATGAACCGTCATGGGCTGAATTGAGGGTATTGAAGACCCCGTTTCCCACTACTCTGGTACCTGATAACCTTAGACCTCAGTGAGCTGGTCCATTTCTACCTAGACCTCCTACCCCCAAACCAGCCCTCTGGGTCTTTCTCCTCTCTCCATCCTGCTGGATTCCTTTACCAACGTAGTTCCATCATGAAAGACCCAGAACTTCCTCTGCGATCACCTGGCTTCTGAGAGCCTATCTGATGGAGAAGAGGCAGGGTTCGCTTTAGGTGGGGCGAGGACCCACTCCCCCGGCAGGGGGCTGCAGCACCATCACCCTGTTGAGTGACTTTGCCTCCCGTGATCACTCACCAGAGATGCTGACCAGCTTTCTTGTGCTTGTTCCTAACTTGCTGAACAATTGAGATCCGCACACAAGAAAAGTCAAAGCTGGGTGGCCCCAAGGTCCTCGGGTATATCGCTGCCATGCTTCAGAGGGTACTAGCGGTGCACGGTCCTTCTCCGGGATCTGGCGTGCTCCCCGCCCTCCGCCCCAGTGGGAGTTGGAGTGCTGTCACCTGGCACTGCCTTATGGCCTCATTCTGCGAGTCTTTAGCCTCACCTGGTACTTTGCCCAATAGAGGCTGCAAGGCCGAGAGCTTCCGATGGAAACTGGAGGATACATGAGACTAGGGCCTCGATCACCAGGACTGTGTGGAGTAGGGGTCCAAAGAGAAACCAGAAGTGCTGCACTTCGTGGTTTCAGAGCTGCCGTAGACCCAAACCTTCCCGGTGGGTGCAAGAAGAGGGGGCAGGCGAGAACGCAGCCATGCTCGCGAGAGCACGCGGCAAGGCTGCGCGCAGGGTACGCGGGTACGCAAGGGTTAAGCCGTTTGCAGAGTCCATGGCGCCCGGTAGGGGGCGCACGCCGGCGGGAACGCGGGCGCGGGCGGACTACCCCGGGCCTGCGGCTCCCGGCGCCCCTGACGTCACCGCCCCACGGTCGCCAGGGCGACGGCCTCACCAGCCCGCGCGTCAGAGCCGCCTGTCTCTTGGCAACGGCCCGATCTCCCGCTCTCCCTCCGCCTGGCGCTGAGCCGCGCGTCGTTCTGGCGTCAAAGCGACGTCAATGGGACTGTATCAATCCGGCGCGGCGGCGGGGCGGAGCCGACGGAGGCGGGCCGGGGCGGGGCTGGGGGCGGGGTCGGAGGCGGGGCGGTGGCGCGTGCGGCCGGGTACGCGGCGCGGACTCAGAGCTGACATGCTGCGCGGTCCGGCAAGCTGTACTGGCGGTGGCTGTGGCGATCCGAGCAGCAGGCGCCAGAGCAGCACGAGCGGCCAAGTGGTCGGTGTGGGCAGCGGGGCGAGCGGCGTCCCAGCCTTGGCGTCTGGAAGGCAGCGGAGGTGAGACGGCCATGAGACGGCGGCCGGGGTGGCGCCGCGGGACTGGGTTCGGGTCTCCCGCGGCCCCGCGGGTGCGCGCTGGAAAGTCGGGCCGGGACGCCGCTTGCCCTGCAGCCGCCGCATCCCCTTTGTTATGGGGTGGCGGAAGCGGATCCACGCACCTCTCGGGGTCAGGGGCTTGGGGGTTCGGAATAGAACCGACCACGGGCGGCGGGTACACGGCCCGCAGGGTGAGGGGTGCGGTAGGAGTCCGGCGCGGGGGGCGGCGAGGGCGAGTCCACACGCCCGGCGGACCTAAGGGTGTCCGGGGGACTGGAGTGGAACCGACCGCGGGGAGCGGGGTATATGCCCCGCTGGACTGAAGCGCTACAGGGTTCGGGATGGAGCCGACCGCGGGCGGCTGAGGACGGGTGTAGGAACAGTCCATGCTCCCTGCGGGGCTAAGGGCGTCCGGGGGCACAGGAGTGGAGCCCATTGCGGGCGGGGGGAACGAGTGTGGGAGTGGGTCTGAGCTCCCCGCTGGGCTAAGAGTCCGGCGGGACTAGAGCGGAGCCGACCGCCGGCGGCGGGGCTGGCGGGTGTGTGATCCGGGTCGTCGCTGATCGCTCCCGGCGTCCGCAGGTGCCCGGAGTCATGGTGATCATGTCGGAGTTCAGCGAGGCCCCAGCGGGCGTGAGCCAGGGTCAGCAGAAGCCCCTCCGGGTGGGCTTTTACGACATCGAGCGGACCCTGGGCAAAGGCAATTTCGCCGTGGTGAAGCTGGCCAGGCATCGAGTCACCAAAACCCAGGTGCCTGGGGTGAACACTCCCTGGGGTGGACCCTGCCTGGGGGCAGCCAGCTTGTTGGGATTCCTGCCTGTAGGGTCCGTCGTGTAAGGTCTACACGCTGACAGTTTTTAGTTTGGTAAAGAAAAAATGTTTTGTATTATGATTGCATAATTTGAACAAATATTAGGGGACAGCAAAGAGGATAATGAACAAATCACCCAGGAGTGCAGTGCTCTTGGTTCCAGAGCTAAAGCTCTGTAAAGCAAGCCTGCAAAGACTTAGGACAGTTACTTAACTTTGGCTATTTCAAGTAATATTAATAGTTATTTTGGTCTCCCCCACCCCAACTTTTTGTGACCTTTTGGGGACAAAAAGTGTTTTAGAAATTAACCTGGAAAACATGCAATGTGTATATTAGGTTAAGTGAGGTTGTTTAAAAATATCCTTTTTCTTTTAAAATTTTATAGGTAGCGATAAAAATAATCGATAAAACACGCCTAGATTCAAGCAATTTGGAGAAAATATACCGTGAGGTTCAGATCATGAAGCTTCTGAATCATCCCCATATCATAAAGCTTTATCAGGTAAGGAAGGACTGAAGTCTGCCTTTTACTGTAACTTCTGGCAAGTGTGTTAGTTTTTATTTCCAGCAACCTAAGCCTGCAGTTTCTGAAGGCTGCCCCTTTCTGGTTTTTTTGTTGGAGTCAGGGAGTTGCTTGTATAGGGTAAACAGACTGATTTCTGTAAGTGGCAAAGATGCATTTATAGTTATTTTCTTGCTTTTGGCTCATCATTGAGATTTGCTTTATGAAATTTTATTGAATATTATCATTTGTTACAGTTTTAAATATGTGGAGGGGGGAATTTGTTGCCTTTACTATGAAGACAAACAGCCAGATGTATGTATTGCCACAAGTCAAGCATTTAGTAAGAAAGGACAAATTCTAGTGAAACTTCTGCCTTTGCAGATAATTACGAAACTTGCAGAGTGGCTGCTCCTACTCGGTTTTGTAAACTCATCTGTGCAAAGGCCACCGGGAACGTTCATCTTCCTGGGGCAGCGCTCTCCTCCGAGATGGAGAGGTTTTCACCTCTGCAGCGGCAAGAGCAAGGAGCTTGTCCTTTAATCCTTGTTAAGAACAGGCCTCACCCTGCCCATCTGTTGGTTTGTTTTGTGACTTTATTTTTGTTCTGTTGAAACGAATGAATTATATCTTTGGAAAGTAAGTGCTGCTTTAATTGAGACAGCAAAGCAGTCTCTTATTTAGGGGCCACTTCTGCAAAGATGAAATCGAGCCTGGTGCAGGAGAACAAGTTCTCTGCACATGCTCACTATTCCGTCCGGTTGTGTGGGCTGCAAGTTCCTTTTGCTGACTCGCAGGCACCCCTGAGAGTCTGGAATGAATATGGGTTGGTGTGAGTGTTGGTGCCGTCGGCAGGGCTAGGTGTGCAGTGGGCAGGAGGTAGGACTGTAATCAAAAATCACCCCACGGAAGGCTCCTTACTCAACCGAAGGGAGAAGTAGTCACCGGGGCTCGTGTTTCCAGAATGACAGTTTACTCATCTTTGTTCAGAGCAGCACGCACATCATGTTCGTGTTTTGTTTCTGTTGTCATCTGTGAGTTGCCGTCGGGATAAGAAGTTTCCTCCCCGGTCACTGATGTCAGTGCCTGAGAAATGTGCCTGGCCTGTTTCTGCAGGGGTAGACTGACCCCTGTCTGTTTGTGACTGAGCTGGACGATGAGCCAGAGCGTGGCTTCCCTGTGCTACTGTCCCCTGCTGGCCCCTATGTGGACCAGTTCAGCTAGCGCTGCCTTGCTCCGGTGACCCGAGTTGGAGGTCCTTTCTGGGGTGAATTTTTGTACTTCTCTGTGTGCTGCTTTAACTGTGTGGGGTAGCAGCGAGTGTTATTACCCTGGTTTTGATGCTGGTATCTGGTTTTCACCCAGCTGGCTCAGGCCCAGGACCTTGGTGAGACACTAAACTCTTTCCTTGAGGGTTTTTTGTTGTTGTTGTTTGTTTTTAAACTTAAAACACATTTACTCTTCACTTTTTCTAAGTCATTTTTTTTTTTATTTAGAAAAGGGGTGGACTTACATGCATTGAGGGCCAGGGCAGGCAGACTTCCAGCTGACCTGCGTGGTGTTCATTCCTAGATTTCCAGCTCAAAGCCGTTGTCTTTAAAGTGTCTTTTTTACAGGAATAACCATAGTATGAACCCCGAAGAAGTCTTTTTCTGTAAGAATATATTATCTCTGTCTTCCTCTGACATAATTTTAAATACTCAGATATGAATTAGTTTTACTTTCAGTACCAAAGATTTGAATTTTATTACCATGTTTCTTAGGTTTTAAATTATTTAAAACATTTTTTTCAGAGTGAAATAAAATTCTCAATCAATAAGGGAAACTTTGAGGCAGGGGTCCCCAGAATCTCGGGCCATCCCACCCCCCCTACCCCAATCCATCCACAGCAGGCAAGCCAGTGGCACCAGAAAGGTTGGGGACCCCTGCTTTCAGGTGCACTTGGCACTGTCTGTTGCCGTGGACACTCGCTGAGTGGTTTGCTGTACCCAGAGCCAACGGGACCGTCGTAGCTCACCTGGCAAAGCCAGCTTCTTGTGGCCTAATTAATCATGTTACAACGCACGTGGGGATGGGGTATTTGCTATCTATTATTCACCTGTGCTGGCCGTTGGCTCGAATAGTCTGTTGCCTGCTAGGCTTTTAGAAGAAAGCCCTAGCAGAACTCTCAACGTCACCTTTACTTTTGTAGCCTCCAGAGCCCCCAGGTGGGTGAGGCAAAGTGAGTTAACAGTACAGCATAGGAGAATTCTCATACCTTAGACCTTCACTGAGCGAAGATGTATCGGGGTAGGCAGGCTCATGAGGAATTCAGCTCGGATTTTTTAAAAACTCTCTTTCTAATAGGAATCCCCTAATTTGTTTCTGTATTGCGAAAGTTTTTCCTTCCTTTTCAAAAATAATGAGTGTGCTCATCCAGAGGAGTTAACAGTTCCCTGGGGTTCAGGTAGATTATTTACACCATCGGTATGTTCTTTCTTTGTGTGGTTAAACGTTCGGTCTTTTTTTTTTTTTTTTTTTCAGGTTATGGAAACAAAGGACATGCTTTATATTGTCACTGAATTCGCAAAAAATGGAGAAATGTTTGGTAAGGCGCCCTCATTTTTAATATCTGCCCAGAGCCAGTGGTGCCCATGTGTCAGAACCGCTCCTCTGCCTTGGGTCTGCCCGCCTTAAAACTGCGCAGCATCCATCCGTTGCGGCCTGGGTGACAGCCGCACTTGTGGATTTGGGGGCTATAATTTGCTTTTTTCGCTCCTCAGATTACTTGACTTCCAACGGGCACCTGAGCGAGAGTGAAGCCCGGAAGAAGTTCTGGCAGATTCTGTCGGCTGTGGAGTACTGCCACAGCCGTCACATCGTGCACCGGGACCTCAAGACCGAGAATCTGCTGCTGGATGGAAACATGGACATCAAGCTGGCAGGTGAGCAGGAGGGTCACCCCGTGTCCAGGAAGCATGGTCCTGCAGGAGGGGCCGTATACCGGTGAGGGTCTCCATGCTTTTGGCTCACACACCTTCGAAACTGAGGCCCCTACTGTCTCCGCCATCACTTCATCGTCTGTTTCTTTGCCTCTCAGACTTCGGATTTGGGAATTTCTACAAGTCGGGAGAGCCTCTGTCCACGTGGTGTGGGAGCCCGCCGTACGCAGCCCCGGAAGTCTTTGAGGGGAAGGAGTACGAAGGTCCCCAGCTGGACATCTGGGTAGGAGCCCTGTGCACAGCCCCTGTTGGGTGCCAGGACTGGCTAAGCGCCGGCCAGTAAGGGCACACAGGTGCTGACCGTGCCGTCCGGTTGTTCGCAGAGCCTCGGTGTCGTGCTGTACGTCCTCGTCTGCGGCTCTCTGCCCTTCGATGGGCCCAACCTGCCAGCCCTGCGGCAGCGGGTGCTCGAGGGCCGGTTCCGCATCCCCTTCTTCATGTCTCGAGGTAGGTGTGCGCCGGGCTCTGTCCTCTGCGGGTGGGGGCCAGGTGGCAGCCCTCCACCGGGCATGTTGGAGGCGGTGGAGGGATGGATTTCCTGAAGGGCCTGCTTGACTGTCTTCTGGGTTTATGAGTCAGGCCTGCATCACCGCAAGGTGTTTACCTGCGGCAGGAACCCCACCCACGGGTGTGCTTCCAGTGCCCTACTTAGGGGATAGGCAGGGGCCTGCCTCTGGGGGTGTCCCCTGGAGAGCCAGCTGAAGGCCTGGTGTCAGGAACCCCCACCCAGTGCCCCCCGTGTCTCACCTGCTCCACGCTTGTGTTTTTCCTTTCCATCCCATAAAGATGTGACCTGCTGCCCACTGACATGTGGTCACAGCAGAATAGGGAGTCTAAGTGACCTCTGTAGGGACATCAGGAGGACCGCATCCCCCTCAGAGGCCCATCCCCCAGTGGGGGCTCTGTTTGGTGGTCGGTCAGAGCCCATGGCACAGGCCAACACTCCTGGCCTTGGTGTTTTTTGGTGCAATCATGTATTCGTTTGCCAGGGTGAAGGGAGCCTGTTCTTTTCAGCTGTGGGAGGCGGGGCCGTGCGCACAGCGGCCTGCATGTGTGTGCTCAGTGCGCCACCCTTGCCCTGCAGACTGTGAGACGCTGATCCGCCGCATGCTGGTGGTGGACCCCGCCAAGCGCATCAGCATCGCCCAGATCCGGCAACACAGGTGGATGCAGGCTGACCCCACCCTGTCCTGTGTGCGCCCTGCCAGTGCCGGGCTCAGCTACAACTCCAACCTGGGCGACTATGATGAGCAGGTGCTGGGCATCATGCAGACCCTCGGGGTGGACCGGCAGAGGACCGTGGAGGTGAGTGCCACCACGTCCTGCCCCCAGCAGGGCTTTGACAGGAGCGGCGCTTGTTCTGGGTGGCAGGGGCCCCTGTGTCAGGAAGGGCATCACTCAGCAGTCGAGTTAAAATGGAAGCACAGGCTAATTTAAGGGCCAGCTTGTCCACTCTTCTAAAGGATATTCTGGGCCACCCAAGAATAACCCTGGGAGCAGCCTTGTCAGGGAGCGACTCGAGACATCCCTGGGTGCTGCCCACACGTTGGGAGCCCTGTCCTGGCCCTGACCTGCTTCTCCTCCTCCCTGCCTCTCCCAGTCACTGCAGAACAGCAGCTATAACCACTTCGCAGCCATTTATTACCTCCTCCTGGAGCGGCTGAAGGAATACCGCAACAGCCCGCCATTGGCCCGGCCCTGCCCAGCCCGGCAGCCGAGGCCCAGGAGTTCTGATCACAGCAGTTTGGAGGTGAGCAGGGATCTAGAGCCCCGCCCTTCTGTCCCCTGGGTCAGAGAAATCCCTTGCTCACATGGGCCTAGGAGCGAGACACAGCCTGAGCTCCTCTTTATGTCCCCCACTTATTAAGCCCTGGGTCAGAGAGGGGGTTCCATTGTGAGCCCTGAACCACAGAATGCATGGAGAATTGGGGGTGCTGGTCACTCTCTTGAGGGTCAGGCCCCACCTGTGGCCGCTTGTTCCTCACTGACCCTGGTGCTGGCCTCTCGGTGCCTCCTCCTGGTCACTTCCACACAGGGCGGCCGCAGAGGGAGGGTGCACACGTTCTGAGCCCCAGCAGCCAGTGGCAGGCATCTTGTGCCAGCACGAGGTCAGCACGGTCTTTCTTGCAAGGCTCATGAAGCTACTTTTCTGATGGCATCTGCCCTTCAATGCTGGCTCACAGGTGCCTCAGGAAGGCCTCCCCAGTGACGCGTTCCGGTCCTCTCTGCTGTGCCCGCAGCCCCAGACCTTGGGGCAGTCCGTCCTTCAGGCCGAAATGGACTGTGACCTGCACAGCTCGCTCCAGGTGTGTGAGTGTCTGCGCCGGGTGGCACTGGGGCGGGACTTGTCTCATCCCCGGTGGTGTGACGGCCCCCACACCGAGCCACAAGGTCACTGGTTTGTGTCCATCCCACACAGCCCTTGCTCTTCCCTGCGGACACCAACTGCAACGGCGTGTTCCGGCAGCGCTCGGTCTCCCCCGGCAGCCCGCTGGGCACGGCCATCGGTGAGGAGATCCGGCAGGGCCAGGGCCTGAAGGAGGAGCCGGAGGTGCAGAGGCCCCTGCCTGGCAGCACAGGCCGCAGGCACACACTGGCCGAGGTCTCCACCCTCTCCCCATGCGCGCCTCCATGTAAGTGTCCATGTGGATGGGAGCCCAACCTGGTGGGCGGGTGTGTTTGCAGTTGAGACTGTGAGGAGCTGATACAAAACACCCCTTTCCTGCCGGGCTGCCTCTAGTGACAGTTCTCGGATCTGCCCCTGGTTTAACCATGGTGGCCCCAAAGGTTACATACACTCCACGTGGTTGCTCAGTGGTGGGGACAATGTGGGATTTAGCTTCCCCCAGGTGCTGGGATGGAAGGTCCTTGCCCCTGACCTTTAGTGTCCTTGGTCAGCCCCGCCAATCAGCTGTAGCTGGGACCCCTGTGCTGGAGGGCTGTCAAGGTGACCTCTGGCCATCACAGACACCCACCCCCCAAGGTTAAGGAGAAAGGTGGTGAGGCGCGGCCAGCTGGCTACCCCTATCAGTGGGCTGAGAGGGCTGGCCGAGGCCTGGGAGTGGCTGCAGTGGCCTGGGGAAGGTGGCAGGGCCGGTTCTTCTCCTGGGACAAGTGCCGGCTTCCAGGGGTTGCACTGGCCTTGGGCAGCACGAGGGCCCCTCAAGAGCACTGTGTCCCTCTTGCAGGCATCGTCATCTCTGCCTCCGCAGCGAGCCCTTCAGAAGGCACAAGCTCCGACAGCTGTCTGACCTTCTCAGTGGGGGACAGCCCGGTGGGGCTCAGTGGGCGCTTGGCTGTCCAGGGACTGGGGGGCACCTGCTCGCCACTCAAACCAGCCTCACCGCTGCTGGGGACCCAATCTGCCACCCCGGTGCTGCAGGCCCAGGGAGCCCTGGGAGGCATTGCCCTGCTCCCAGTCAGCTTCCAGGAAGGCCGGAGGGCTTCGGACACCTCACTCACACAAGGTGACTCCTCTTTTCACTCTCCTTTCCGCTTCCCCTGGAAGATGCTGTGTGCGGCTCTGGCAAGAGTTGCTTTGTCCGGGGTGGCAGAGGTTCCCTCATTCTCCAGCCAGGCCTGGGTGGAGCAGCAGCCCTCCCTGGGCAGATTGAAGGTGCCACCCGGATTCTGGGTGTCCTGGTGTCCTGGGACAAAGTGACCTGGCTTCTAGTGGCTGGTCTTAAAAATTCAAGAGACACTTGGATGCCAGGCAGCAGCACCTGACCTGGAGGAGGGGCAGGGCTGGGGGTGGGCCCTCCACACCTGGCTGCCTGGGCTCCCTCTGTGCCACCGAGGGCTCAGAGGCCCTGAACCCCCTCCCGAGCCCCGTGGCACTGCACGTGCCCTTCTTCCATGAAGGACCCAAATGCATGCCTTTTCAGTGTTGGGCCTGCTGCCCCAAACCACCCCCACAAGATGGCTTCCTAGCACTGCACAGGGCCGAGGTGTGGGAGGGGGCCTGGAAAGCGATTCGGTGACCAGCGAGCACCCCCGGCGCGAAGGAAAGCGCACGGGCCCTTTCATCCCTCACTTCCACGTTTCCCCCTTCTCCTCCCTCCTTTCTACCATCTGGAAACCCAGCCGGCCTTGGGCTGCTGGTCCTGGGCTGGGGAGCAGAGGCCCATAAACCATCTTCATTGGCTTCTCTCCAGGCCTGAAAGCCTTCCGGCAGCAGCTGAGGAAGAATGCGAGGACCAAAGGGTTCCTGGGCCTGAACAAGATCAAGGGGCTGGCTCGCCAGGTGTGCCAGCCCTCCTCCAGCCGGGCCACTCGGGGCGGCCTGAGCACCTTCCCGCTGCCCGCCCAGAGCCCGGGCCTGCACAACAGCGGGGCAGGCAGCCGGGAGGGCAGAAGCCTGCTGGAAGAAGTGCTGCACCAGCAAAGGTAGGCCCGCCCCATGCCAGTCTCCTGCGACCCGGGTACACTCACATCCATCTGCATTTCCTCAGCTCCCCCTCGTCCATGTAATCAATGAGTGTGCCTCCCTACTCCTAAGTTGGGGGTGGGGGGACCTGGGGGCCTGGTTCCCGCAGATGGTGGCAGAGGTGGGGAGCAGTCAGGTTTTGTCACTTCAAAGCCTGGAAGTGGGGGGTGGAGGAGGGCAGTGAATAAAAATGTCACGTCTGGTTGGCATCTCTGAGCTGCTGTAAAGCGCGACTGAGAATGGAAATGTCAGGAATTGCTCAGGGGATTAGTCACCACAGCATCGTGTGTTCTGGGCGGCACCAGCCGGCACTTCTGCGGCCGTGGAAACCGCTGGTGCCTGAGCCTGGCCAGGCAGAACTTGTCAGGAGCGGCAGCACTTGGAGCTGGTGGTGACCTGTCCCCCTCCCTGTTTCCTCCTGGCCCCCAGGTTGCTGCAGTTACAGCACCACCCAGCAGCTCTGCCCGGCTGCCCGCAGGCTCCCCAGCTGCCCCCGGCTCCCCTGGTCCTGGCCCCCTGCGACAGCACCCTCCTTATGTCAGGACTCCAGAAGGGGCTGGGGCTGGGGCCCAGCCCGCTGCTGCCGCCCCACCTCCTCCAGGCCGGGGTCTCCCCGGTGGCCTCCGCAGCCCAGCTCCTGGACACCCACCTGCACATCAGCACCGCCGCAGTGCCCCTGCCCGCCGCCACACCCCTGCAGCCACACTTTGCCATGCTGCCCCCGGGTTTCGACCCCATGGGGCTGCCGCAAGGGGACTGTGAGATGGAGGACCTGACCTCGGGCCGGCTGGGCACATTCGTCCTGGTGCAGTGAGGGCACCTCCCACCACCCTCCTCCCGCATGGGCTGCCGACTCCTCGAAGCAATAATCTCAGAGTATGTGAAGGCGGTTCTGGACTCAAAGCCAATAACTTCCTAGAAGCGAAACAAGCAATACGTTTGGTGTTTTGGCTTTTTAGTTAATTTTTTGTTTTGTTTTCTCCTTGCACTGAGCAGCTGCTGCCATGAGTAGGGACTGGAAAGCTTCTGAAGAAAAATAATAATTGGGGGTGTGTCGTGGGGGCGGGTGGACATGAGGGGGAGGAGGGAAGCGAGGTGGGACAGGACAGGGCCAGCTCTTCTCGCCAGGCCAGCCCGGCGGCTGGAGAGGCCACCAGCTCCCTCGTCCACGGGCGCCTTGGGGCACAGAGGGCATTGCCTTGGACGAAGCCATGGCGTGAGCCGCGGGCCGTCAGAGCGAGTGTGTGTGCGTCTGTGTTCAGTGGCATCCTTTTTTTAAATTAACAGTTCTCCACTTCTTGACACGTTTATGCTTCAGACGAAAGCTGTGAACTTTGTGCTTTACGTATCAGTTTTCAAAAAGCTCTAAGGGCCAGCCCAGGAGAAGATAATCTGCAAAATCTTGGAATTCTCTCCCCCGAAGTCAGTAAACAGAGGATCACTTTTTCTTTTTTTAGATGAGGAGTTCTGTAAACTGCTCGAGGGTCAGTTCCGGGATTCTTCCTCCGAGCCAGGAGGAAGAGCCTTGAAGGGGCGGCCGGCTGCGAGGCGGGCTCTGTCCCGACACTTGGCACCGGTCCCAGGTGCCTGCCTGGGAAGTTACCTCCTGCCACACATCTTTCCGCTGCTAATTAAGTTTTATGCATTTCATTATCAGGGTCCAAAAACGAACAACTGGCCGGGGTGGGGGGGGTGTGGACCTGTGCAATAGGGCGAGGCCGGGCTGGGCCACATAGACAGCGCCCTTGCCGCACTCACGGGTCACTGTCAGCGGAAGGCCCGCCTCCCCCAGGCTCACGCCTGCTGGGCTTTGGTTCAAGAAAGTGGAGTGAGAGGTCAGGTCAGTGTCGCTCAGCTTTGTCCCTTTGTAAGCAGATGCTGTACATGTGTGTAAATAAGACAGACAGACACTACTTATTTTTTATATTTTTACTACACCGTTGTGTTCCTGGTTTAAGTTTCCCTCTGGCAACATTACAAAGTGCTGCACCAGGTCCACGTGTGGGAGAGGGAGATGCGGCTGCCCTACCTGGCGGGCGGACTCAGGTGGCCTCTCGGTGGCCCAGAGGCCTCTGGATGGAGGGGGTGGCTGCCGAGTGCTCCCTCTGCCCGGTCCGCCCCAGGCCTCCGCCCCCAGGTGCCTTCAGCTCCCTTGCTCCTACACCCTCAGTATTAATCAGGTGGCGACAGCAGGGGAGCTGGGCATCTGTAAAAGCCAAAGATCCCTGGCGTCCCCGGAGAGCAGGACAGCGGTGGCCCAGCCGGTCACAGCCCTGCCTGCCCTGTGTCTGCGTGTGCCCAGCTCTGCTGCTCTCCCTCCTGCCACCGCTCCTGCTGCTCTGGCTGCCTCTGAGGGAGGCCTGTCCTTGCCCTCGGCTGCTGAGGAATCTCCAAAGCCTCCCGCTGACATGTCGGGAAGGTTGGGGACTGAGAGGACCTGGCGTGGCACCGCTGCGGCCCTTGCCTCCTCACAGGTGGCACCAGGACCCCAGCACAGAACCCGTTCCCCTTTTGAAGTTCATTTCTGTCGTCATGCCAGAGATCAAAGGCCTCCGAACCACAACAAGCACTTTACTTCCATGTGGTTGTTTTCTCTCTCGTCGCTGTAAGTCAGGCTGTGCGTCTTGTTTTTAAGTGTGTGTGACGTGTGTGTTCCGTGTGTGTCCGGGTTTCTCAGCAGCACCGTTCTCGAGTGACTGTGGTGGCCTGGTGGAAGGCACTGCGTGACCTGATTAAAATGTATATGGTTTGTTTTTTTTTACCATAACTGAATTATTTCTTTTCTTATGTTAACAATGAGAAATGTATGCCAAATGATTAGTGGATGTATGTTTTTTAATTTAATATTTAAATAAAATATTTGGGGGAAAAACCCTGACTTTTTCACTCGGTCTCGGTGGCAGCGCCTCCCTTCCTTCCTTCCAGAGGGAAGTTGGCGCCAGCGCCACGTCAGAGAGGCCCAGTCCTCCGGGCTCACGGATGCCTCGGCTCTGAAAGGAGAGGCCCGGTGCCAGCCCCTGCACGCCACCTGGCCGCCCAGAGCCAGCCGCAACCAGGCTGCAGACCCCATCGCCCCCGCCTGGCGGTGGAGGTGGGCGCACGGGGCACAGGGCGCGGGCAGGGGTGGTCTGAGGCTGCCACCTGAGAGTGCATGCCCAGCCTCACTGTTCACCCTTTGCTCCTTCCCTCATAATGTTCTCTGAATCTGCTTGTAAGCCGGGGATTTGGAAGACTGACTACCAAACTCCTGGTGTCTTCACACGGCCCTGCCCGCTTCCCGCAGTGCGGCAGGCGTGGCTGCCCAGACGGCAGCCGGCTCTGCTCCTGCTGTAACTATCTGTGGCCACAGTTTTCCACTTCTCACCTGTTGGGATGGTCATGATCAGAAACACGCACAGTAAGTGTTGGCAAGGGTGCAGAGATTGGGGCCCCAGTGCACGGCTGGTTGCAGGCAGGGCAGGCTGCTCCTGAACAAGCCCGACAGTCGCCTCGTGGTCCGGCAGCCCCACATCTGGGTGAAGACAGGAGGGAACTGGAGGCAGGGATGCGAGTAGACACAACACTTCACGGCGGCACAGCAGCCAGGGGATGGGGGCAGCCCCAGCGTCCACCCGAGCAAATGAGACCCATCCGCGTAAGGGGATATGACTCAGCCTTAAAAGGGAGGTCCTGACACCTGCCCCGTGGGTGAGCCTGGACGACGTCACGCTGAGGAAGCACGGCAGGCGCGGAGGGACAGACGTGGTGGCTCTCCAGTTGCGTGCGGCCCCTAGAGGAGGCAGACCCAGGGAGACAGACAGTGGACAGAGTTTGGGGGGCGCCCGAGTTCTGGGGATGGACAGTGGTGATGGTGGCCCAACAACATGATGTACCTGATGCCACAGAGCTGTGCACTTAGAAACGGTTGAGGTGGTGAGTTTCGTGTTACGTGTGTCTTACCACAACACGGAGGCAGAAGGTTCTTTCGGGGTAGGCGAGATGCCCGAGGAAGGACAGTAGCTTCCTCGTAGAGAGCCGGGCTCTGGGGCGAGGCGTGAGTGAGCAGAAGCCGGGAGGACAGGTGACCGCAGCGTCAGATCCGCTGGGAATCCATGGAAGCTCAGAGTGCGTTTCCGCAGCCTGTGTGTGCGGAATGACAGTATTGTGCATCAGACCTCGAGCCCCAGGAGAGCTCCTGGGCCCTGCAGATGCCCATGCTGGGCTCCTGGGCGGCCCACAGGGTGCTCTCAGCCTCTGGGTCACCGGGGCCTGGAGGGCGGGCCCAGCCTTTGTTCACTGTGGGGAGACTAAAGGTGCTCTCAGTTCAGTGTTGGCGAGGTGGAGCCTTGTCAGCTGGGGAGAACCAATGTGGGCCCTCAGGTGGGTGGTCCTCCCCTGGGGGGGAGCCATCTGGTTGCACCATGCCCCAGCAGCCCTGTGCTCCCCCCTGGCACGTGTGTGGCTCCCCACAAATAGCCAGTGGCCAGGGGACTGCTGTGCTCCCTGACTCAGCTGGTTTTTCTGGGACTGCAATACATTGTGGTCGTTCTTATCATTGTTAATGTCATGTAGATTTCTCAGGAGGGAAATATAACCGCACTCAGGGAGCCTCGGGGGGACCTTGTGGGATGTAGGGCGCAGTCCCAGCCTGCTCAACAGCCAGTCACATCCCACAGATGAAGAGGTGGCCAGCATGGCATGGGATTCGGCACGGGTGTGGGACTCGGGCTGGCCGTGAGTTGAGGGACCCCCTCTTTGGGCCCCACCACCTGTGTCTCACCATGCCACCATCTCTGTGCGGTGGATGACCACACCTGCTGGGAGTATCACGAGATGTTGACATCGTGGATGCGTCTGTTCCTGTCGGGGTGTGGCAGGGCTGAGCACGCCCGGGCACCTCCCTCAGCACGTGACCGTACATGACGAGCACCGGGGCTTCTGCCATTTCCTCCTCCTTTGCCCTCTGGGGAGGGTGTAGATGTGGCCTGGAGCAGTGACAGCTGCTGCCACAGTGGCTGCTACAGTCCTTGCTAATACAAGGTGGAGCTGCCCCCAGTGGACCCCTCACAGAGAGGAGCATGTGGCCTAAGAAGGTGTCCTTCATGTGAGGTACAGCTGGGTTCGATCCCCTCTGCAGCTTCCTGGTCCTGCAACAGCAATGACCCCACCATCACCGTTTTCAAGGTGGCGCCGTGACAATGCAGTCTACTTCTTGGGGTTGTGAGAACAGGCTCCCACAGGAGCCACTTGGGGCTCCCGGCACACAGTGAGCGAGCCACGAACACGGCGGTGACCCTGGTGTCATTGCAGCCAGCCAGCAGGGCAGGTGCCCCTGGGGGAGGAAGCATTAGGGGACCAGGTCACACACCTCATCTCCATGCTGCTGTTCCAAATGCTGACTCTTCCCACGGCAGGTGGGAGACCCTCCCCTGAAGCTGCCCCTGGCGCCATCCATGTGTTCCTGTCACCCAGAGCTGGTGGCGCTTTTGCTGTGGGGCGAGGGGGCACGTGTGCTAGTGCGTGACCTGCTTTCGGGAGGAGGTCCTTCTGGGCGCCCAGAGACGGGGCAGCACGGAAGTGAGACCGGCTGCTGTGGCGGGGAAGGGGCCCCGGGACAGTGTGGCTGGAGCGCGGGGGGACTTCCTGGTGGGGATGGGGCTCCTCTCACTCAGAGGCAGGAACCGAATCTGACTGAAGGGGAACTGACTTGTTTGGGGCGGAAGAAAAAGAATTGGCCCGTTGGGTTTCCTTCCAGAATAATGACACCAGGGTGTTTCTGCGGTCAGGGCAGGGTGCTGCACGTGGCTGTCCCGTGGCGTGACCTCTGATCTTGGTGGAGGGTCCCGAAGAACGTGTGCAGGGTGGAGAGTTCTCTGCGGGTCCCCTGGGTTTTCAAGGTTTGGCTCTGCGGACTGTTGTCCGGGCTGAGAGAAGAGAACAGGAAAGCGAGGGGCCTGGAATCGGGGCTTGGGAAGGGTTGTGTAGCTGGGAGGGCTGTGTGGGGGGGAGAGCCTGTGCATCCCCCCTTCTCGGGGAACTCCCGGGGTCTCGGTCTGACTCACCACCCTTCGATGAGCATTATTTCACTCACTGGGGAGGACTTGAGTGTTTGTCAGAAAGCCCAGGTGGCCAGAGCGCTCGTCACCCTCTCTCGGTGACAGCGTGTGCTGGGCTGAAGGGCGCACACTGGCTTCCAGGCAGGCTGCGGGGTTTTGTTGTTGCTGTTAAATCCGACGCTTCCAGCAGGCAAGGGGTGCGGTGAAAGGCCCAGGCTCCCGGTCCCACTGGGCCAGGGGGGCGGAAGGCTGTGAGGGACAAGGGCACGTGAGCCCCCCTCAGAAATCGGTACCCACAGGACAAATCAGCTTGCCAGGCTGTAACCGACATACGGTAAAGCGCACCTGTCGTGAGGGACTGGTTCAGTGAGCTTTGACGACGTACAGACCTGTGTGACTGCCACCGATGCTGACACACAGGACGTTTCTGTCACCCAGATCACCCTGCCCTTTGTGGAGGAGCCCGCCTGCTGTCCTGGCACCAGGCAGCCGATGCCTTCTTTCTGTCACCATGGATTAGTTCGCATTTCCTAGAATTTTCTACGAATGGCCACGCACCTCTGGCATCGTCCGCTGGTGTAATTGGGCGGAGACTCGCCAGACTTGCGTTTGCCACTGGTTCTGTCCTTTGTGCTGCTGGGATGTGCCCCACGGTGGTGCAGGCAGCCCCGAGTGTGCTCATCACCCACCTGTCAGTGGACGCTTGGGTTGTGTCCAGCCTGGCGCTGTGGCGAATGGTGCTGCTATATGAATATCTGTGTGTGAGTTTTTGTGTGCACATGGAAACAATGGCTGCAGCACGTGGAATGATGGCTACTGACGTCATGAGAAGCTGCCACAGCACCGCCCGAAGTGCCCGCAGCAGCCTGCCTCCCTCCCGCGGCGGGTGAGCCCCAGGTGCTCCACGTCCGCGCCAGCTCCGGGAAGTGCCAGCCCCTTCCATCCTGGCTGACCCGGTAGCTCTGCAGTGCAACCTTGTCGTGATTCTGCGTTTTCCTGGTGACTAGTGATATCTAACCTCTTCCTATGTGCTTTTTGGCTCTTCTGTTTTTCAAGGTTAAGTCTTAGAGAATTTTTAATTGTGCTTTTTTAATTTTTATTATTGAGCTGGAGGAAGTTTAAACGTATGTTCTGCACATATTCTTTGTCAAATGAGTATGTGTATACTTATGTTAAATATGTATGCATACCTGTGAATACATGTGTATGCATATACCCGTGCTGTACACACATGTAGGCATCCCAATGTGTGCATGCACGTGGATATGTATGTGTCCGTGCACACGCACACGGCATTTCTCCCACCTTCGCCTTGCCTTTCACCTGAAGAGTGGAGTTGAAGGTTTCCATTTTTATAAAGTCCAACTTAACTCTTATTGTGTGTGGTTAGTGCTTTTTGTGTCTTGTCACCCCCCATGTTGAGGAGATCGGTGTCACCTTCCAGAGGTTTTCTGCTTTCCGCCTTTCTGTCTATGTCTGTGGTCCACTTTGAGGTTATGTCGCCTACGGTTTGGAGAGCAGCTGACTGTGTCGTCATCCCCACAGTTGACTCCACCTGCAAAGGAGGTGTGTGACACATGCCCTCTGTCCACGCCCACAGGTCAGACTGTGGACACGCAGCCTCACCTCACATCGGGGCAGCCGTGGCCTTCAGTGAGGCTGCCCACTTGGACCATGTTTTGTAGATCTGATAAAAACAGAAGATTTCTCTTTATGATAACCACAGTAACAGCAAAAGTTTGAGAACAAAGAGCAAACACGCCAGCCTTCACTGACGGATGCGGAGATAGAGGGCGAGGACCAGCAAGCTGGCTTTTCCGTGAGCCTGGTGCCGAGGCTGTGCCTTCCACT